GGAATGACAAAGCAAAATTCGAATTTTTAAGATCTTTCTTAAGTCGTTAAAATTATCGTTGTTCTTATGTGCTAGTGAGTTGAAACAGAGTTCAATTTTTGCTTCTGTGAATTGTTAATTTATAATCTTTGCTTGCTTTTCCATTGGATTTTCTTTGTTATATTAATACAGAAATATTAACATAGAGGCGCTAAGTCATTCTCTTTTGAAACATAGAAGAGCAAGTCAAGCAATCAAGCAAGCAGGCACAAACATAAGGAAAGTATATGCCAAGGACCATCCTTCAGATCAAATGATCAGAGTCTTCCCTGAGGATCAGCACCCTGAATTCAGATGATTGTGTGGATCAAAACAAATTAGTAGAATAATGAGAATTGCAAAACAGAGCAAAGAAACACTGCATAGTTTATAATCAAGAAAAGTATATTTCCAGTCTGTATCCTTTCTCCATTTGTATTCAGTTTGTATACTGTCCAAATCATTCAAGAAGTTGGACTTTATGAAGAAGAATTTGGCATCAGTATGAGAGGAAAGCTTATCAACAACTTGAGTTATGCAGGTGACAAAAACTTCCTTGCATAAAGTGAAAAGGCTTGTGGCACTTACTGCAGAAGATCAAAGACTAAAGCTTTCAATATGGATTACATCTCAAGGTCAAGATGATAAAAATTCTCATTACTGGACCAGTGGGCAACATCATGATAGATGGAGGAAAGATTGATATTGGCAGTGGTTTCATCTTACTTGACTCTACAGGCTATATCCTGGGTACCAGCAGTCAAAAAAATCAGAAGATTTGTTGCAATGGGAAAATCTACTGTCAAGAACCTCTCATAATTCTAAAGAGTAATAATGCTAAAGTTTAAAGACTAAGGTCCTCCTGATCCAAGCTGTGATCCTTTCTATTACTTGTCATTAGCTGAAAGTTGGACAATGTCTAAGGATGACAGAAGAAGAATTTATGCCTTTCCTTTGAACTGTGATACTGGAGTAGAGTGCTGAATATCCCACAGACAGTCAAGAGAATAAAAAAGTATGTTTTGGAAAAAGTGCAGCTGGGGTGCTCCTTAGAGACAAAGTTGGTGAAACTCTGTCTCACGTACTTTGGGCCTGTTAGGAGGAACCAGTCCTTACTAAGAGATACCATGCTTGGAAAGATAGAGTTGGCAAAAAAAAAAGGAAAATCCTGAATGAGATGGATTGACATAGTGACTGTAGCAGTGAGCTCAAGTTGTATCAGCAATGATGAGGATGGTACAGGATAGGACAAGATTCAGATCTGTTGTTCATAGGACTGCTCTAAGTTGTACTTGACTCAGCAACACCTAGCAATAACATGCCATGAGAAAATCAATTTCTATTTGCTAAAGTGGCTTGCTTGTGATTTTGTGTCGTAACCAGCTCATAGCTGACCCTGTGGGAGGCTTTCGGAGGCAGTAAATCACTTGGGAGCAGACTCCCAGCTTTCTCTCACAGAGCAGCTGATGGAGTCGAGGTGTGTGTCCTTGTGTTGGCAGCACAACCCTTTACCACTAAGCCATCAGAGCTCTCTAAACTACACTTTCATTCTTTGAAATGAAATAGAATTGCAGTGTCCGTCTCTTTGCCACGCCGGTCACATTTCTGGCACCCAGTGACCACAGGTCGTTCATGGTCACCATATTACATAATGTTCTCACCATCGCACAAAGATCCAAACAAATCATGGGTTTGACCTTGAGGCCTCTCTCAATGCAGACAAGGTGCTCACGTGGTGTAGTCTGTAGGAAGTGGCGCTGCTGACCCAAAGGCCATGCCCCTCTGGTGGTTTGGGTTCACCAGGAGCTCTGAGAGAGAAAGACGGGCTGTCTCCTTTCATGTGATTTACAGCTCAGTGGAGGGTCAGCTATAAGTCAGTTCTGACTTGATGCAGTGAGTTTGAGTTTTTTAATTTGAGCAGTGAAAACAAAGTGGAAAAAAAAACAAAAACAAAAACAAAAAACAAAGTGGAAAAAAAAATAAATAAAACAATTATACATCTTAACATATGCATCCCTTGTCTATTTTTGACGTTGCAGCTACTTTTTCCCAAGTCTGCCATCATCCTGGTATCATTGCTCCATTCTACTCTGCATGGTTAGGCAGAAGTTCTTTTTCAGGCTATCAGTTTTCACTCTGTGGTTTTCAGAGATTTTTAATCTCATTTAAGAAATTGCTTCTTACTAGAAGTTGGCACAGATTTTTCTATATTTCCTTCAAGTTGCCTTGTAGGGTTTTTTGGATCTTAAATCTTATTTAAGATAGGGAGCCATCCATAGTGAACCAGTCAATTTGCCCAACACTTACTCATCAAACAATTCATTCTTTTTCCAAATTCCCATATATCCA